TAGTTTCTAAACTTCAAAAATGAAACCCTAAAAACAAGAGTTAAATACAAATATTAAGAAATCTAAAACATTTGCTAGTGATTAGAATAAAGAACACCTTTAAATTCAAGGTCTCCCCTAGATTGAAGAAATCAATGAAATAAAGTATAAGATATGGTAGTAGTTTTATAAAATATTGAAAACCTTTAAAGGTTTTCAGTGGTGTATCATTTCCAAGCCCCAGAAGGTAAGCGAATATTCTTATACTCTGTGATTAGCTAGACTTAATATGTGAGATTCTTCTTATGCTGTGGCTTTGAAATAGCCTAATACTCACTTGCCCAGAGCAAGTGCTTATTTAGCCCAGGGGAACTTTCTAGAATACTGACCCCACTTACCTGAAGAGGTAGGATCCACCAGGGAAAACATCTGGTATTCATTCCATTCCTTCACTGTTACTGAAAAGTGTGTTCACTTGGCAAAGCTTATCTTACTTTTCTGACAGTGTGGATTAAAACCAAAAGACCAGCAGTGTTCTACAGTGTGATTCCTGAGCACGCAGCTCCAATTATCTAGTATTCTCAAAAGGACTGTTTAATCAGGCCCTCATCCAGTAAGAGATTCAACAGCACTTGGAGACTACAATATGTCCCGTTTCTCTTCTATTTCTCTTCATTTCCTTTTCTCACCCCAGTGTAACAAACTGCTATAGGTTTTAATCAAAAGACTATAGCAGTAGTTAGAAATGAGTTATTTTGCATTACCGAAAGCATTCAGTCACATTATAACAGGTCACATTTGCATATACCTAGGACATGGCCAAATAATGTCTACTGCAGGGACTTTGCAAACTCAGCATAGTCGATGTATCCATCATTGTTCTTGTCATCGTCTCTTAAAACACCATCTATTAAGTTAATCAGTTCAGCTTCACTCATTGGTGGTGCCTGTTCATTCCCGTCCTACAAAATATAAGTTAGACGAGGATAAGTTACACATTTTCCTGGAAGTGCTTAGCTCATGTCCAAAATGCCCATGCCCACACGTGTCCCAAAACTCCTTCAATGTAGTACGTAGCTAATTTCAGGAATCTACAAGCCATATGTCAGGTACAGTCAGTTCATAATAATCCAACTTAGAAATTATATTTGCCAGTTAAAGATGTAATCAAAGTAGACCCTTGCTTATTTGTTTTAAAAATTACTTTTCATTTTTTTCTAAAGAAATTATGTTTACAGCTAGGTCTGGCTTACACAGAATTATGAGTTTCACAGTCCTATGACCCATAAACTCATCCTAGAGAAAATCTCACAGCCCAGGCCCTCCTGAGAGTCAGTTCTGGGCCCAATTTGAGAAGTTCCTCTTCTGAGAAAGAGGAAACAGTCCACACTGGACAACACCTCAGGATCAGAACAAGAGAAAGAAGGCACTGCTGACCAGCAGAAGCTGCTCTGATCCTTGAGGTGAAGGCACCTCCCTTGCTCCAGGAGCAGGTGAAACAGGCTCCCCACGCTGAGTGCCAAGCTAATGCTGTGCTGCCCTTGGCCGATTCTTCCCTTGCCACCTCTCCTATGCCTGCCCTCTCCTGCCCCCGCCACACCATGCCAGGACCATCGAATCCCAATTCCTCTCCCTGACACCAGGAATGTCTGACCTCTCTCCTCATGCCCATCAATGTGCCTCCCTCAGCAAAGAATCTTCCCAGGACACGAAGCTAATCATGCCTTCAGAGCAAACCCAGCTTGCCTTCCTGGCAGCCGATGCGAGCACTCCCACCTCACTCTCTGCCTCTCCTCCTCACCATAGATAGCAGTATGGCAGAGCCAGGCTGACTTCGGATATGGAGACATGAGATCTTCTTGATTTCAGTTTCCTTACCTCTAAAATGGGGGTGGCTAACAATGCCTGGCCCTGCCTGCTCACAGGCTGTTGCAGAGATCGAACATGATCTCTAACCTACTCAAAAGTGCTTTGTAAACTGCTTTGTAAACTGTAAACTGTAAGCACTGAACAACATCACACAAGCCCTCTAGTTACTGCCCAGTCCATCAATCCCTTCACCCCAATGCGCTATTCTTGTTAAATAAAATAACTTCTCCCCTGCTCTGCATTTTGAACATGGTCTGTCTTTTAAGTGTTGGTTCTCAAACTCTGGTACACAGCAGAAATGCCTCTAGCCACTTGTTAGAGATACAAGGCCCTGGGGCTTCTGCTCCAGCAGGTCACCCTTTGTGAGAAGGACCACCATGCAGGAAGAGAAGCAGAACAGAATGGTGAGCAAAGGAGAAGCAGCAAATGATCATGCAGGACAGAGCACAGGTCATCAAGATTTGGGACTGAACAGCAAAGGGAGGTCTTTCCAAGATGCAGCCCCTGAGTGACTGGCTGGCCGACCTACCTCCTTATGGACATGAGTGATGGCTGTGGAGAGTTCTAGGCCGTCAAGCAAATTATTGCCGTCATAATCATGCATTTTGAAATAATGGAGCTGCAGTTCTTGTGGGGACATCTCCGCCTCTGGTTTGTTGATGACGCCTTCTAGATGTTCCATAATATGCCTAAAAACCGACAGGTAGACTCAGACTGCTTAGCAGTGACACAGGATCATGCCGAAAACTTAAGGACTGAAAAGTTCAAGATCTTAAAGTTCATCCATCCCACAAAAGCAGAAACAGTGGCAGACCACACTCAAGGATGATGGATACAGGGCACAGCCTTGAAAGGAGCAAGGGAAAGTCAAACAGGTCACTGCTATGCTGGCAATATTATGGGTATTTTTTCCTCTTATTATTAAAATGTCATAACATTTTTGAAGGCTACCATTAAAAAAACAATTTTTAAAAGCAATTCAAAGATAACAATAATGTGTGAGGCCAAACGGCCCAGGACAAAAGTTGCAACAAATAATTCATTTGAATGTGCCAATAAAAAAAGGAAGAGGCCTTGTCAGAGTCAAGAAACCTTACAGCCCTTTCTGGATTCTGCCACTGCTTCGCACATGCATGTGCGTGTGCGTGTGCGTGTGCGTGTGTGTGTCTGTCTGTCTGTCTGTCTGTCGTGAAAGGAACAGAATGAGTTCAGGGAAGTCATTTATCCCATCTGGGCCTCAAGATCCTCCATCTGTGATATGATGATGGAAAAACAGGACCTGATTTACAGGTGGCTGGAAGAAATAAACACCATCCTTGACACTTATCAGGGCATCACACAAGGGCAGAAGGGAAGAGGGCCACGGGTGCCCCTACAGCTGCAGAGGCCCTGGACCGCAGCCCAGGCTGGATACGTACTCGTGGTCGTGCACCGTGTTCTTATCGAGGCCCACGCTGCCAGGAGGGGCGCTGGCCCCGGGCTCCTCAGCCCTGGCCCTTGGGGCACAACAGACCCACAGCAGGCCGCACAGGAAGGAGATTCTGAGCAGCTGCAGGGACCTCATGGTTACAGGTACCTGGGAGGTGGGGAACACAGAAGATGAAGGCGAGAACACCAGAGCTAAGGTTCTTTCAAAACCTCGCCTTCCTGGGACCCCTTTCCTTTCCCTTTCAAGGAGCAAAGCACTTTCCTCTCCAGATGGGAGCCCGGTGCCTCCCCCACACCTCAGGACATTCTCAGGGCTCATGCTTCTCATTGCAGCTTCTTCATCTACTTTGATGGAACCCTTTATTTCCACCCAAGTCTCACCTCACCTCTTGAGCCTGCCAGTCTTGTTCTGCCAAAACTCAATACTGGTTAAATAGCAACTCCCCATTCCCTGCCCCACGTCCCACCCCCAGCCCCTGGCAACCACCATTCACCATTCTACCCTCTACTTCTCAGAGCTTCACTGTTTCAGATAGTTTATAGAAGTGGAATAGTACAGTATTTGTCCTTCTGTGAGTGGCTTATTTCACATAGCATGATCCAGCAATCCCACTTCTGAATATTTATCCAAAAGGATTGAAATCAGGATCTCAAACAGAGATCTGCAGTTCCATGATGCTGAGGGGGCTCACTGCAGCATTACTCACAATAGTCAGGATGTGGAAACAACCTAAATGTCCATCACAGAGGAATGGATAAAGAAAATGTGGTATTTACACACATGGAATATTATTCAACCTTAAAAAGGAAGGAAATCCTGCATTTTGCTTCCCCTATTTTGAAGAGCACGGAAGCTTTTCCCAGAGGTCCCAGCAGGATCTCTGGCCAGAGCTGCATCCAGAGCAGCCTAAATCAATCATTGGCAAGGGGAAAGGGGCCGCTGTGATTGGCTTAAAACAACTGGGACCCATCCCTTGGGGCTTGGCTGAAGTCTGCCTTCCCTGAGTTTTTGCGTACAGCAATACAGAGGTGGAAAAACCCTAAACAACTCTGGAGGAAGGACTTCTGATGAGGGTACTTCACAGAGAGATTCTGGTCCAGAATGTCCTTCACGTCCAAGCTGAAAAACGGCCTTACACTATCAAGCAGAGGATAGTCAAGAAACATCCTCTGTGCATCAAGGCCCATACTGAGCAGCCATGGGGTCACAGACCCAGACTTAGTCCTCAAGAACCTGAGTCCATTTTACTGCTTTAGGTTTTCTATTTGCCCCCTGCCTTGTTCCAAAAGTTGCTCAGGGCAGCTAGGACCAGTGATCATTATTGTATTATCCACAGGTGAGAAAAGAAACACATCGGCTCCATATGTTTTTTGAACATCAATCCATGTGCAGTATCCAAAGCAGTTCCTCATGAGAGAATTTCACACGGGCCCATGCATAGAGACAGACAGTGAGATGGCAAAAGATAGACTCAGGAGAAAGCTCATGTATTTGTCAGGAATTCTCATAGCTGCACGCAATAGAAACCCAACCCAAAGTGGGTTTTAAAAGATAATGAGAGAAAATTGTATTGGCATATGTAACAGAGAAGGTCAGGACTATCCTGCTTCAGGCATGGCTCGATCCAGGAGTACCAATGACGCCTTTAGGACTTGGGCTCTCTCCATCTCTCAGCTCTGCTTTGCTCTGTGTTGGCTGTATTTTCAGGCAGCCTTTGCTGTCCTGGTGACACAGTGGCCATGGCTGCACCAGGCTGACATCCCACTACCTCAGCTACTTCAAGGCAACAACATCTTGTCTTCTATACCACAGAATTGAGTTCTGTTGGCTTTGATTGGATCATGTGCCCATCCCTGAAGCAAACGATGTAGCCAGTGGCCTGGGAAGCTCTGATTGGCCAGACCTGGCCCATGAATCTACACTACAGGATGAGGTCAGCCGATCCATGCAGACCAAAGGGGTGGCGACACCCCAGGGGAAAACCAGGGTGTATTCTCCAGAAGAAGAGTAAATGGGCTCCTGGTGGGCCCAGAGCACTGCAAACATACCATCTTCAACAGCTCACCCACCCATCTACCAAGGACTGGCTTAGAGCCTGGCATCAAGTCCAGAAATGAATCTGGCACCTTTTCTGCCCTCTGGGATGAGGGGAAGACGTACACAAGTGTAATTCAAAGCATTGTGTGCTATGTCCTGGGAGAAAGAAACAAACAAAAGGCTACAGACATGAGAGGCAAGGCCTTCCAACGCATCCATGAGGTGGGGTGAGAAAGGGCACTCAGCTGGCAGGAAGGGCTTGAGCAATGTTGAGGAGGTTCGAGGGGACAGGGTGCATCTGAGGAACCCAGTGTCATCCTCTTGGTTGGCCATGTGGGTGACGAGGCTGCAGAGGGTAGACCGTGCAGGGCCAGGCTAACCAGCTAAGGTGTTTGAACTGGATCTAGGTGGCAGAGGGAAGCCATCAATGGTTCTTGAGCAGAGCCGAGATGGGATCTAGAGTTATGCTTTCTCAAGATGAACTTCACAGGTGTGGAAGAGGAAGGCTGGAAAAGGGAGAGGATGGGGGGACAGCTGGGCAGCTGCTGCGACTGTCCTGGGGCAGGTACTGAGCCTCTGAACCAGGACACAGGTGAGGGGGAGGTGGTAGGTGGAGGCTCTCCCTGCTCACCTGCCTCCAAAACAGCTCAACTCAGTGTGTCCTTGCACCTGCTGGGCCTATTGTATCTGCTATGGAAATAGCTGTTTAATGAGTGAATGACTGATGATACCTTTTAAAGTAGATCTCCAACTTTTTTCTTCCTAACTTTTTTTCTACAAAAGTGTTTTGTCAAACGTCTAACTAAACATGATTGAATTCCTATACCAGGCTGCTTGGGTTCAAATCATGGCTCCTTCACTTATCAGCATGTTAGTCAACCCTTCTGGGTCTTGTTTTCTCATCTAGAGAATGGGGACAAGCATGGACCCACCCCAAAGCTAATACCTGTAAGTGTTCGGCACTGTCAGGCTTGGTGGCCATCATCATCGCCATCGGCGTTACTTCCATTTGCAGGTGCAAACTAGGCCAGGGGCTTCCAGGACCAAGGTTAACGGAATGCTATCTCAGGGTGACTCGGGTTCCGGGCTGCATCACGGAGGGTTCATAGGAAGGGTCACAGTGTCCCCTGAGAAATGACAAGGAACTAACTGGCCAATGAGTGTGAGGGGAAGTGAATGAACGGCGGTTAGCATGAACTGGAAAATGTACACTCGCCTGAGTTGCTCAATCCATCCGGTGACAGCAAGGCTTCCCAATACCCTGGGGGAGCCAGGTATGGGTCCTGGGAGCCGGGAAGGTACTCGGGACAGTGTGGAGGCACTAGGGAGTCTGGCTGGGTGAGGCAGAAGGCCCCAGCTCTGGGTGCTGGAGGCGCTGAGAGCAGAGCAGGATCCCCAGGCCTCTGGCCCCCTCCCTCCCAGGCTGTGGCGACTCTGCAGGGTCTTTGGAAGAAAGAGGACAGAATGCTGCCTCAGCTGTTTATGGCTCAAGGTGGGGTGCTCCTCAGCCTCCCGCCTTCCTGGGACCCCTTTCCTTTCCCTTTCAAGGAGCAAAGCACTTTCCTCTCCAGATGGGAGCCCGGTGCCTCCCCCACACCTCAGGACATTCTCAGGGCTCATGCTTCTCATTGCAGCTTCTTCATCTACTTTGATGGAACCCTTTATTTCCACCCAAGTCTCACCTCTTGAGCCTGCCAGTCTTGTTCTGCCACAACTCAATACTGGTTAAATAGCAACTCCCCATTCCCTGCCCCACGTCCCACCCCCAGCCCCTGGCAACCACCATTCACCATTCTACCCTCTACTTCTCAGAGCTTCACTGTTTCAGATAGTTTATAGAAGTGGAATAGTACAGTATTTGTCCTTCTGTGAGTGGCTTATTTCACATAGCATGATCCAGCAATCCCACTTCTGAATATTTATCCAAAAGGATTGAAATCAGGATCTCAAACAGAGATCTGCAGTTCCATGATGCTGAGGGGGCTCACTGCAGCATTACTCACAATAGTCAGGATGTGGAAACAACCTAAATGTCCATCACAGAGGAATGGATAAAGAAAATGTGGTATTTACACACATGGAATATTATTCAACCTTAAAAAGGAAGGAAATCCTGCATTTTGCTTCCCCTATTTTGAAGAGCACGGAAGCTTTTCCCAGAGGTCCCAGCAGGATCTCTGGCCAGAGCTGCATCCAGAGCAGCCTAAATCAATCATTGGCAAGGGGAAAGGGGCCGCTGTGATTGGCTTAAAACAACTGGGACCCATCCCTTGGGGCTTGGCTGAAGTCTGCCTTCCCTGAGTTTTTGCGTACAGCAATACAGAGGTGGAAAAACCCTAAACAACTCTGGAGGAAGGACTTCTGATGAGGGTACTTCACAGAGAGATTCTGGTCCAGAATGTCCTTCACGTCCAAGCTGAAAAACGGCCTTACACTATCAAGCAGAGGATAGTCAAGAAACATCCTCTGTGCATCAAGGCCCATACTGAGCAGCCATGGGGTCACAGACCCAGACTTAGTCCTCAAGAACCTGAGTCCATTTTACTGCTTTAGGTTTTCTATTTGCCCCCTGCCTTGTTCCAAAAGTTGCTCAGGGCAGCTAGGACCAGTGATCATTATTTGTATTATCCACAGGTGAGAAAAGAAACACATCGGCTCCATATGTTTTTTGAACATCAATCCATGTGTAGTATCCAAAGCAGTTCCTCATGAGAGAATTTCACATGGGCCCATGCATAGAGACAGACAGTGAGATGGCAAAAGATAGGAAAAAGCTCATGTATTTGTCAGGAATTCTCATAGCTGCAAGCAATAGAAACGCAACCCAAAGTGGGTTTTAAAAGATAATGAGAGAAAATTGTATTGGCATATGTAACAGAGAAGGTCAGGACCATCCTGCTTCAGGCATGGCTCGATCCAGGAGTACCAATGACGCCTTTAGGACTTGGGCTCTCTCCATCTCTCAGCTCTGCTTTGCTCTGTGTTGGCTGTATTTTCAGGCAGCCTTTGCTGTCCTGGTGACACAGTGGCCATGGCTGCACCAGGCTGACATCCCACTAGCTCAGCTACTTCAAGGCAACAACATCTTGTCTTCTATACCACAGAATTGAGTTCTGTTGGCTTTGATTGGATCATG